GTGGTGTGCTGCAGAATAGTGATCTGCTTTACATCACAAACCACACTATTCTGATAGAACGGCATGTCCCACAGTGGGCTCTTCCAGTTTGCCTTTCTCTCTGTTGTGCTGGCTGCAGCAAGCAGAACTCCCCAAGCACAGAAGAGGGAAACATTTATCTGACAGAACCCTGAACCTGGCATTTGAAGCTTTCTGTCAAATGTATTGCAGTCCATGGCCTGAAAGGCACATCTCTTAAGAAAAAAATCTAGCATTATGTTATCTATACTACACAATTATTCCACATCAGCCTGTACCTCTGGCCCCTGGGATCCCTCTCTATTTTCAGTGACCATCTAAGAAGCCTTAAAACAGATCTGACTGTAATATTCAAACATTCACAATGACAGCAAGGTATCAGAATGGTTTACGTTGGAAAAGACCTTTCAGATCATTGAGTCCAGCCATTAACCTGAGCATCACAGCTTCATGTCTTTCAAATATCTTCAGGGTTGGTGACTATCACTTCCCAGGACAGCCTGCTCCAATACTTGACCATCCTTTCAGTGGAGAAATTTTTCATAATATGCATTCTAAACCTCCCCTGGCACAACTTGAGGCTATTTCACCTTGTCAGTTGTTACTTGGGGAAAAAAATGAACACCCATCTCACAACCACCTCCTTTCAGGTAGTTGTAGACAGCGATAAGGTCTCCCCTGAGCCTCCTTTCCTCATGCTACACAACCACAGTTCCCTCATCTGCTTCTCATCAGACCTGTGCTCCAGACCCTTCACCAGCTCTGTTGCCCTTCTCTGGACACACTCCAGCACCTCAATGTCTTTCTTGAAGTGAGGAGCTCACAACTGAATACAGGATTTGAGATGTACCCTCACCATTGCCAAGTACAGCGGGACAACCACTGCCCTGGCCCTACTGGTCACACTATTTCTGATCCAGGCCAGGATGCCATTTGGCCTTCTTGGCCACCTGGGCACACTGTTGGCTCATGTTCAGCTGGCTGTTGACCAGCACCTCCAGGCAGGCAGGTTTCTAGCACCTCTTTCCCAAGTCTGTAGCTTTGCATACGGTCACACTTTGGCACTTGGCCTTGCTGAAACTCATACAGTTGGCTTCAGCTCCTCAATCCAGCCTGTCCAGATCTCTCTGCAGGGCCTTCCTACTCTCCAGGAGCCCAGCACTCACATCCAACTTGTTGTCGTCCACAAACTGGCTGAGAGTGCACTCGATCCCCTCATTCAGATCACTAATGAAGTTACTAAACAGGGCTGGCACCAACACTGAGCCCTGGGGACACCACTTGCAACAGGTCACCAACTGAATTTAACTCTATTCACCACCACTCCCTATAGACATGCCCTACAGACTTGTGCATGTCCAAGTGGTGTAGCAGGTCAAGGACCATTTCCCCGTGGATTATGGGAGTTCCTTTCTACTCCCTGGCTTTGTCTGCCAGTTCAGGGGCTTGGGTACCCAGAGACAACTGGTCTTACTATTAAAGACTGAGGCAAAAAAGGCACTAAATACCTCAGAATATTTCTCCACTGTCATAGTTTAGGAAGGGCATTCCCCAATCAAGTGTGCCCACTGAAACACTCCAAACCACGCACTCCTCACTCACTCCCTGTCCCAATCTCCCGCCCTCCTGCAGTGGAATGGAGAGGAGAGCTGGAGGCACAAAAGGTAAAGATCATGGACTGAGATAACAATTTATTAGAAACAGCAATGAAATAAGAAAAGGAAAAACAACAACGTTAATAACAGAATATACAAGAGACACAATTCACAAGCAGAACCCAGCACCACCCAGTGCTTCAAGCCTGGCTGGAAAGGGCCCATCCCCCGTGTCTCCCCCTGCATTCAACAAAGGATGGAGAGCCTCCTTAGCCTTTCTTTTGCTGCTAATGGATTCATAGAAACACTTCCTAGTGTCTTTTATGGCAGTAGCCGGGTAAAGTTTCAGTTGGACTTTGGCCCTTCTAATTTTCTTCCTGCGTAACCTCCTGTTTGTTGCTCATGCTGTGTGCATTGCTGCTGAGGCAGTACAGTCGAGCTGCTGATTCCATCACCTTCTTGGAGGGGAGAGCCCAAATTCCTACATGACCATTCTCAGGCACTTCTATGGTTTCTAACACATCAATAACCCTTGTGTCTTTGCTTTCACATGGATCTCCATGCCCTATCTCCAACGGCAGACAGAAGGAATTCGCTAGTACATAGTAACTAGAAAACTGGTGTGCCATCCTCAGGTTTTCCTCTAGTAAGCCTGCTTTTACCCTTTTCCCTTTTTACCCTTTTTCCCCCCTCAAAGTTTAAAGTTGTTGCAATGAGCCCTGCTAACTCCTGCATGAAGATCCTTTTCCTCCTTTGAGTCAGGTGTATCCTATCCATTGCCATCAGGTCTGGTGTTCTGTAGACCAAATGATGATCAAAACACCTAAATTCTGATGGTGTCACTAGCATCAAGAGCCAGGTGTTGGTCTGCTGGCTCATCCCATTTCTTCCCTTATCATTCTCTGCTATTGGAAGGATAGAGGAGAAAGCCACTTATGTTCCTGATCCCTTAACAGTTGTCCCAAGGCCCTGAAATATTTTGATTGCCTTTGGACTTCCCATTGCAACTGAAAAAACAGTAATGGATAATAACTGGAAGGCTGTACCAAACACTTCACATCTGTAATCCAGGCCCCAGGAAGAAAGCAGACTTCCTGAAGAAGTGGGTCTGATCTGATATGGGAGTTTCTGTTCCCTTCAGAAGGGATTGTCTATGACATCAACCTGTCTTTCCTTTTTTCTTTTTTTTTTTTTTTCTTTATGGAAGCAGTTTTGGCACAGGGCATGGGCTGACTTAACCTCAGCGACATCCCCAAGATAGACGGACCATCATCCTCCTTACTGTTCCGTTCCACCTGCAGAGCCTCACACCTCTTTGTGCCCGGTCACCGGGGGAGCTGGGCCAGTCACAGAGACGAGCCTACTCGCGTCCTCCGGGATCTCTGGCACCAAGTGGAGCCGTCCCTCTCTCTGGGGGTGTGCTCACTGCTTTCTCTCCGGTGCCGGTGTTGGAGCAAGGCACAGCATATTCCCACCGCGGCTCTGCCGGGTGGATCCCACCGCTCCCTGCCCGGGCTGGAGCGCCCGCCCTGGGCTCCCGTCGGTGCGAGTGCCGCGCCCTCCAGGGTCACTCCTGGTCACTCCCCCTCCCTCAGGAACTTTTATACGTGTGAGGTGGTTGCCCGTCTGGCTCCCAGGTTCCGCCAGCCGCCCTCTGCGGCTCCTGGCGCCTCTCTGGGCTCGCCCCGAGGTTCCCCCAGCCCAGGAAACCCCGCCTTGCGCGGCAGCTGGCACCGGGGCTGCTCGCTCTGCCTCACTGCTACACTCCAAAGAGCTGGCAACGCAGACCTTTATGTTTGTGAAATGGCTATAAAGTCATACTGTATGTTCTCAAAATTTAGAACAGTCCAGTAGACACTCATAGAATGATATTTGATACCTCTATAGGGCGATAAATATTTTTTGTTTATCCTATATTGATCTATAATCATCTTCCAAGATAAATTAAACAAATGATAGATTTCCTTTTAGCTGGTACATGTCAAATAAATTCGTAACTGTAAATGGGAATAAACACAATCCAAACAGACAAAGGAAATGCTGCTCTATGGCATATTTGGAAAGTATAGCAAACCATGCTGTGATAATTATAAACAGGAGTTTGTTCTGCGGTACCAGACTCTCTTAATAACAAAGTAAGCCACACAAATATACCTGCTGTATGCAGAAGGAATCACAAGGCAGGTGTTGTGCACAGGAAGGAGAACTTCCTATTACTGGCTTTTATAGATATAGCCTTGCAGGTTTTGACAATACAATACTTGACAAGTTTCTGTCTCACACATCTTTCCCCTCTTTTCCAACCTAAATGAATCTATGATTCTATGATTAGGCAGAAAGTGGTATTTTTCACAAGCCTCATAAGTGCATTTGTTTACTCGTTTACTACCAACTAAACGCTCCCTATTACAGTGCTATCATCTACAAGATCTGTGTCATTGCTTTCAGTAGGATTCCACTAGACTGATGATTTTCAGTTTCCTTCCTGCATTTAATGCTTTCAAGTGTACACACTAAGATGTAAATAACTTTTCTCCCAGCTTTTTGTCTCTGTCCTTGCTATGTTAACTAGGCTCACAGCAGTAGCTTTGTTTTCTCCTCATTTTTGCTGTGTGAATTTGTTAGCAAACAAAGACAATTTTCATGGGCTAGCATACAGTTCTCTGTATTTGCTGATGTCTCTCTCACACAGCAGAAACAGAGAAACAGGTGCCAGGGACAAACAAGATTAAATACAATACTTAAACTATGTCTTCTATATTTATAACAAATCTTATAAGACAATTTAAAAAAAAATAAATAACTGGAAGTTAAGCTGCATGAGTTCCCTGACCTTTTTAATACAATGAAGCAAGAAAGAAAAACAAGAGGATGTCAAAAGTTGTGAAGTACTCACAAGTCTCGTAATGCTGAGCAGCAAGTTGACAGAGAAGTTAGGATAAGGTTTGCACTGGTGACAGCAGCAAATGCTCCACCCCCTCCTCCGTTCTGTTTTACTTTCAGTTGTTATGTAACAATATAGTACTAGATTTGTACCTCACATAAGGTGGAAATTTTTCCTATGACAAAGAGCAGAAAGTAGCGATTTCCTGCTGCCACTTCTGAGCAATTTGCAAACTTGGGGAAAGAAGAAAAAAACCACACACACACAAACACCCCCCTGTGGGCAAATACATATGCCTGTGATTTAGAAGGCAGGCAAGTGACTGACAGACACCAAAGGCTGCTCGCTGATTGCTGTCCCAAGCAGCGACGTTTGTGCAGCTACGTCTTACCATTCCATACAGGGAAGAAACTTTATGGTTTGTGCCCCTGTTGCTGCACAGTCCCTTCCCTGCTCGCAGCTTAAGTATATCCTTCCAAGCAGGACTCGGAAGAGCTGCTTACCTTGGAATCGAACACTGTAGCTTTATGCCGTGACGACTCCTCTTATCTGCAGCCCGAACAGTGTTTTGCTGGGGCAGCAACCACAAGAGGGCAAGAGAAGTGGCCTTTCAGGGCAATGAAAGGAAGCCGCGGAAGAGGGTTGTGAGGACAGAAAAGAGCTTCTCCCAAAGGTACAGCGTCTGGCTTGCTGTGGAACAACAGGGCAGAGAGGTGTCAGCGGCCCAGGTGACAGCAGAAGAGGATCCTTATAAATGAGCTAAAAAAATAATCTGAAAATTGCACTGAACTCAGAAGTTGTGGATTTTGGCTGTTAAGTAAAATGGGGGCATAGTGCCTATGATAATGCCAGGGAATGGCAGCTGTAATCCTAAAGTCCTGCTTAGACAGGATCAGCATCATGAAAAACTTTTCTAGCTTGAGATAAACTTTAATGTCTTGAAGATGAGTCTTAGCAACTCCCCTATGAGGACTGTCTGGTTTCCAGGAACTATCACTTACCTGTGTAAGATTCGTGCACTTGAGAGGCAACAGGGAAAATGGTACTTAATCTCTGTGCAATCTTCTTTATGTCCTCATCTCTGTTATTCTGGGTGCCAGTTGTTATTCTGTGCATGTCATGCTGTGATGTGGTAAAAATATTCTGCAGCAAAATGACAGGGTTTTAGAAATGGCTCTGTCTCCTTACTGAAGAAGAGATGAGTTTCTAGAGTTGAGCATTTCCTTCTTGTTTCTCAGTGAAGTAACATTTTTTTCAGGAACACTACAATACCAGTTAGTTCACTGTGCTGTCATAGTTCATTAAAGGCAGATTCAGAAAATGTATTTGTGAAGCTGAATAAGACTTCTGTATCTTCAATAGCTGTCATACAAGTGAGAGAAACAAGGACTTTCCAGAGAGTAGTTTTAGATGGCTGCATGGCAAATTTATTACAACTTGCTGCCATTTCTCAGCACCCCAGTGAACTATATGCTGTGGTCCAACTTTCAGGTCCAACATCCACAGTGCAGAGAGGGCACCAAAATTAAATACAGTGGTGCTGATTAGCTCCTCTATGGTACCAGGTTGACAATCGCTACCACTGCAAAGAACTTTCCAGCATTTAACATAAGATAAGAAAAACAAAAAGCAGAACTCACAATTTCATGCTCTCCAGGGACTCTCGGCTTTCTCATACGACTCTGTATCTGAGCCTCCAGAAAAGCAGCTACTCGGACTCCTTATACTCTGCGTCAATGCAGGGTGTGAATGTCCCTTTTTAAGCAGTTGTGCAGACAAGAGAGGTGTTATGTGCTTCAGCTGGCAGCTGATAGAAACCTGGGCAGGATATGAAAGCGAAAATAAAAGTATAGACTTGGCTGGAATTCTTGCCGTGACAGACTACAAAAATGCAAGCGAAAAGGAGGTACCGGCATGGCAGGAAAAAACACCTCACTGGAGAAATATTTAAAGCAAAGGATTATATTCATTTCTTGGCTGTCTTATAATAAGGGCGTTTCTTTTCAGACAGAAGTGGTTGTAAACCTCTCTGTTTCTTCCGCTCACTACAGAATAAGAGTAAATTGTTTCAAGCATACACGTGAGTTGTATATATTTGGACTTGGACCCCAAAGTCTCTCATATTTGTCGCTGTTTAAAACTGGAGTGTTTTCCATTTGTTTTTGCTTTTTGATGTGATACCTTTGCTAAGCTATAATTTGACAGATTTTTCTAAACCAGGACAAATTTATAAGCAAACAGCCAAAAACAAGCACACAAAGCTTCAGGTATTAATGAATTGTATTACGTGAGAAAAAGGAATCACTTGTTTGTTGTGTTTTTTTAACTTTTTTAAAACTTTTTTTAAACTTTCCAAACAGTTCCCTTTGAACACAGCAAAATAGAATCACTGTATATAGGGTGGTTTTTTTTTTAAACTATCTCTCTTGGTGTGTTCTTTTTTTAAGAGCTGTGTTTTGCTGGCATTTCTGAAGTTAAAATATATTGATTTCTAGCTTAATATAAAAACTGTTCCTAAATATTACAGTAATTGTATATAAAAGTAATGCAAGTGTCAGTATGTATTACAGTGCAATAGGCTGGCAATACCACCTGCACTCCCTCAAAATATAGTTCTCATTCATTTGCTTAATTAGACAAAAATGTGCTCCCTAATTACACAAGGGACATTTTATGATTATCCAAATGCTACTAGCCACATCAAGGTGTTTATTTACATCATAAATTACTCTCATATTCTCTTACAGTCAAAATGGCCCTTTCTAATTTATGCAAGTTTCATTTATAGTGGACACAGGCTGTTTGGCAAGATATTGGCAATTACTCTCTCTAAAGAGCAACTAAATTGTAATTTAATGTTTTAAGTGCAGTGACAAAGAAAGTGAAGGCAAACAGTAAAGTGAAAACATGCATGACTGTAATTTTGCAAATAAAATGGGATAACTGAAAATTCAAGCGTGACTATCCTGATTTGAAGCAGCATTTGAACACCAGGTGAGGAAGTATTGCCACAGGAGCAAGAGTGAGGAAATGGGAAGAAAGAAAGCTTTTCCAGAGCTCTATGTGTGATGTGTGTATACAAAAAAATATCAGTTCTAGCAAACACAGATCCCTTTAGGACATCCCCAACCAACTCAGCTCAGAGCCAACTTTCCTCGCTAAATTTCTGAATGCTAAAAGATGGGACTGCACCATGCTATTCTCACCTACTGCCTCAGTATTAGTCCTTTATTAAAAAAAGGTTTGAAATGGAGACTTTCTCTGATAAGTTGTTAGCTCTGATACGACTTTATGCTCTAATAAGCATAATGATTTTAATTTTCTTTAAATATATTTCTAAATTTTTAAAGAACCTGAACCTAAATATACAGACAGATGCAGGAGACAATAATTGCAATTTGAAATGTGTCTCTTCCTGAATATTTTTTTTTATTATAGTGTTCCTGCTGTCTTTGAATTTTTGCCCGCAGGGCTGAACTACTACACCCTCAATTATCAACCCCATGAATTTCTGCATAAGAAAATGAAAGGACTGTTGTTTTCTTCCTCTAGGGGACAGAGTGGATGTAAAGAGCTGATAAGGATGTACAGCTTTGGCTCCCTTCCCTCCCAGCGTGACAACCAGAGGAGCCAGCTCTGGGGAAACAGCCTTCTGCCTCTGGGAAGTCCCATCCTAGTTATCCCCCCCAGCATTCACCATTACTCCTCGATGTTCAGCAAAGGTGAGCCGTGATTCTAGTGGCCAGCAGCATAGTGTCTTAGTACTGAGCAGGAGGGGACAGAGAGGGGCTTGTATGATGACAGTCATATATAAATCTGCCTTTGATATATGGTAAGAAGGTGCATTTCTTGAAATTATCAATCAAATCATACACATATCTGAATTTGGGAACTGTCCTGAACCAGGGCTGTAACAGTGCATAAAACAATATTCAAGAGTGAATCAATTCTACGGAGGAGTTATTGCTGTAATAGAACATGTAATATATTAAACAGGTTACTAAGGGAGAATGTGTGTCTTCTGAAAATCCAGGCAACTTTTGCTTCATGGCTGGTTTAGCATTATAATCTTTCTCTTTTTTTTTTTCATACTAAATTATACTGTTTCCTAAATTATAGACTCTTCATATTGCTTATTAAAAATTGGCATCGCAAAACTGCTGCTTAATTTCTAGGCACATCTGGAGAGACATTAATGTTCTGCCTTTCAGAAGCATGCACAATATTTCTGGCATGTTATAATTTATCAACTATTGCCACTAAGAATGAGCTATTCCTATTTAAAGAGATAGTGTTTCCAAGCAAAATCATATCAACTGCTAAGTTAGCAAAAACAAAACAAAGGGAAAGGCATTTAATGCATAAAAGGAGTAGAAATATGTTTCTGAATCTGTGAAAAAAGTTAACACAGAGAAATGTGCTGTTCTTAGTTGGAGTCATGTGAGGAACATATAATCCTAAGTGTTTTGTCTAGTACCTTGTGAATAAGCTCTACCCTATTTAGGCAAAATATTTTCAGTATTGCAGCCTAAAGGTTTTCCTAAGAGTATTGCCCTTTAAATTGGCATGATAGGAAAATCCTATACATGAATTAAAAAGCTGCCTAACATCCCAGAAGGAATGTCTTCACTACAGTGGTTCTCTCAAAATATAATTGTGTTATTTCTCTCTGTCTGATCAACCCCGAGGGGAGTGGCCGGACCACAAAGCTCTTGGAGTCCACGCTCTCTCAATAGTCCCTGATGTCAAGACCTACAAGCCAAAGCCACAAAACTGCTAGTGAGTCTAATCCTGATTTACATCCCAAGATAGTTCCCATAGGAATAGTTCTCTGCTCAAGTGCCCCTTTGAAATTAGGTGCTGTGCTACTGGACCTTGGGTGATTGGAAACCTTCCAAACTGGGTAGCTGGAGGCCAGTGACGTGCCTTGGGGAATCAGGCCCATTTCGCTGTTAAGTTGCACAAACTGAACAGAGCCCTGCCAAGTAGCAGGGCTGGGAAGAGCCTTATGAGGGTTTAACTGCCTCCAGCCAGGATCCCTAGCTCAGGATCCTCCCCTGAAAGCAGTGTCTTCCTTCAGGATAAAGCATAGCGTCCAAAACATGTGTCAGTCAGTTATTTTTTTTTTTTGCTACATAAGGATTTTCCAAGTGTTTCTCAACAGAAATTCCAGAACAGTGAATCCTGAATCCCTGGGGGAGGGAGGCGGATTTCTTTCCTCAAAGCTAGCTATTTGTTAAAACATTTTTATCAAGATCTCTCAGTCCATGTAGACAACCCTCTGTAAGGTTAGCAGATTGCTTTGTGGCTCACTTTGCCATTTGTAGTTGAAGCTCTCGGGAGCACAGGAGAATTAGATCCTAACACATCCGACAATGAAAGTAAGTCCTACTGGAAAGAAATAACGTGCAAATGAGAGAGATGAAAGAGGAAAGAACACAACTGAGTAATGATGTGCATTCCATCAAGATTATTTCCCTGCTTTTTCTCTTTAATACTAAAATATAATAACCACGACATGTTTATCAAATTTCTCATCTGATACTACTGTTTTATAGTTTCATTGTGATGTAATACAGCTGGTCTCTTTAATGCTCAGAACTTTTGTGACAAAAGTATAAAACACTTAGTGGAAAGTAATTTTTGTATAAATAGAGAAAACAAGATACTTAGCTACCACGTGGTAGAATACATTCTGAACACTTAAAATTTAAGAGTCTCTGCAGAACATGCTGTATTTAGCTGAAAGGAAGGAAGGAAATATCTTTCTCCAAGTAGTTTAAATTAGGAGTCATACCAAAATCAAAGTTTTCTTTAGTTTTCTCATATTCCTTTCAGGCTTTTAGGATATATAAAGAGCCTTTTCATAGATTGTGACACTTGTGGAATATTAAACTCCCACATCACCCTGCAATATCACTCCTTTACATGAAAAAATGAATGTGCTTTCTGTAGGGAATCTTAATATGTGGCATACTGTATACAGACAGGATGGATGCTCTGGGGGTTAGCAACATTTTGATCAGTTGATGTAAAGATGGGGGGTTTAAATTTACTATCAATAATTGGTCATTTTTCATTTCAGTCCTGGGTTTTTTGATAGCTTATTGTCCTCAGACCAGCAATTTTCCCCATCTGTTATTTCTTACCTTTCCCCAGAGCACCTGTTAGTCAGAAGCAGCAGCTTCCCCTGAATGGTGTGCCATTGCTTTTGCTGGTGCCACATGGGACATAGAACTGTTCAATGTGCATAAGAATAGATATTCCCCATTTTTAACCTCCACTGCTCGCTCTGAATTCTTCTATCCTCTGCCTCATGACTGCCTAGCCTAAGTGACTGAAATTCCTTGTAGGAAATCATGCAGTGACATGTAACAGCAGAAATGTCCAGCGCATTTCCAGTCCTCTCTGTTTCCCTGATTATTTATCCATGTGTACTTCATGTACCACCAAAACAACCGAAGTGTTTATAGACAGGCTTTTCAGTATCAGGCCAATGAACTCTACTTGTCCTGTGAGCAGTTTCCATGAATTGTCTATATCGAGGTCCAAAATGGGGTTGGCTTGCAGATGTCGTGTTTCCTGATGTCAGCATGTTTAGCTATCCCTGATATACAACTTGGTGTTCTTGTTACTGCTCAGTGGGGTTTTGAAATCTGCTCAAGATTGTTCAAAATAGAGAAACACCAAGACAAACTTCTGGACTGTGTCTTAGTGAGGGGGGTAAAGCAGCAGCAGTCCTTTAAATTGCCACTGCAATATTGTCCAAACTGGGG